GGTCACAGCAAACCAGCTGCCTAAGCAGTTTGCTGATTTTTGGAGCACTGAAAAGCATGGTTTTAAGGAGGGATCTTGAAGGTGGAGGATGAAGTATCTTTTTCTGTCTTTACAATGAGCTCATCCCAAACAATAGGGGAGGCCTGGGTGAAAGAATGAAGATGTTTGTAAGAATATTATAAAAACGGGCAGTCAAGACTGGCATCATTTGTGGAATGAAGATGAGAGTTAATAGCTCAATACTGCATAAAGCCTGTTCTACACTAGGGGGCAAAGTCAAACTAAGGTTAAATAGCTAGAGTCAACATACCTTTATTCAACTTACAATGGCATCCCCACTGCGGGGGGGTTGACAGAAGAAACTCTCCTGTTGACTTCCCGTTCTTCTCACAACCCGGTGGAGTGCCAGAGTCAATGAAAGTGAAATCAGTGGTTGATTTAGCATGACCTTACTAGACCTGCTAAATCAACCCCTGGGAGAGCAATCTCCATAGTGTCAATCTCCCAGTAAGCGTAGACAAAGCCTAAGAGACTATAGGTGGGATGGGGCTAGGAGCCTGAAAAGTGCTGACAAGTAGTCCGTGCTTGTTGCAGATGGGAACAGGGAGCCAGGAGAATAATTTTTGCAATAACATTGAGAACATCCAGAAATAGTGCCATAGGCAAATATGATACTTTACCAAGAGAATAAATTAAGCTCCTGCTCCAAACCAATTTACAGAATAAGTTAAGGGCATTAATTAAATTTCTGATACCGAATTTTACAAGCAGGATGTGAAATTAACACACAGCATAACAGTCAGAATGGAAACTTAAAAATAGCCTCCTCATGCCTAAATCCTTTAAAATCCTACTATCTTATGGTTAGCTGTTGAGGTAATTCCTCCTCACACAGAGAGCGTCACATTCTGCTGCCAATTATTGGCTAATCTTACATTATAATTGTATACTGGGAAATAACTCTAAAAATGGATTTCATGATTACGGTTGTACAATGATTTCAAGATAAACTTTATGAAGTTTCCAAATAAAAAGGTTCTTTTCTAGGTTCCAATGTTACAATCTCACCACGGTATATGAAAGTCATGATTAATTATTTTTGGTTCTTTCATCATTACTATTCCTAAAGAGTCTGCAATTGTAACTTAGTTAACAATTCTACAGCTGATATACAGCCCAGAACAGAATCCAGGTGATTTTCTCATAATATAGAGATAATGGGAAATAAAAATATAGAAAGTATTTATTTTTGCCCAAAAAGTAAAGAGCAATCAACATAAAAAGATATACCAAGCAGATGTCACAGAATAACATGCCATTTTATACCAAGCCATTTTTCTGAGCATAACTACATTTTAAAGGGATGATGTAAACTTGATTATTTGAAAATGGTACATTTTTAAAATTTACTTTTCTGAGAGAACTCCCTTTAAACAATACATCCTGGATTTTTTGTAATTATAATTTAAATGAATGATAAGACCTTTTTATCCCCTCTTGATATTTCAAAGGGTCTTTTAGGCAGGCCAGGTCCACTTTTCTTCCCTCCTGCTCTAATGCATTTTCTCTCAGCCCACTCCTGCCTGCTGCCTCTTAAATGACACTTTGAGATTTGCTGATGCTGTTACTAGTGAATACCGTATTTTCCGGCGTATAAGACGACTGGGCGTATAAGACGACCCCCTAATTTTCCAGTTAAAACACCGTATAAGACTACCCCCCCTTCCAAGGCAATACCATTTAATAACATCAGATTTGATTTAAATAATTTTAATTAAAATGGTTTTGACTTACCGGTACTTAAAATCCTTCAAAATCCTCATCATGTTCATCCTCTGACATCATAAGTTCATCAATGACATCTTGTGGTACATTTGTAAGACAGTCATCATATGGATCTAATTCCGAATCAGATGGTGTGGCTTCAGCTTTGGCTTCCCCTTCATCTTGCCACAAGAAGTCGTCCTCCATACCATCCAAAGAATTTGATATGCCACACTTCTTGAAAGACTTGATTACTGTTTCTGCATCAATATCATTCCAGGCTTTTATGACAAAGTTACACAAAACATCCAATTGTGGCGCACGCATGTTTCTTCCTTCTGTGAATGACTTTTCGCTGCTAACCATCCACTCATTCCACTATTCTCGAATGCGATCTTTAAATGACTTGTTTAGGCACACATCCAGTGGCTGTACCAATGATGTCAATCCTGCAGGAATAACTGCCACATCTGTGTTTATTCTTGCCAGCCTTTTCTTTGTGCTGGTAGTTAAATGAGCCCTGAACATATCCCACACCAGTAGGCTACGTTCTTGACGAAGTCCACCTGGTCGCCTACTCCATACATTATCAAGCCATAGCTTTACCCCTTCTTCATCCATCCAGCCTTTTTCATTCACATGTACAAAAACTCCAACAGGGAACTTGATTTTCGGCATTGTTTTTCTTTTAAAAATAATCATTGGTCTTAGTTTGGCGCCATCAGCTGTACATGCTAGTACCACTGTAAAACTGGACTTCTCATGTCCTGTTGTTTTAATTAACACTGTTTTTGCACCTTTTGGATTAACAGTTTTATTTCCAACCATATCAAAATTCATAGGAGTTTCATCCATATTTCCGATCTGACTTAACGCATAGCCATGTTTCTTGCGCTGTTGTATTACATATCGATGGAAAAGACTTACTTTTCCGTCGAGATCTGCAGGTAATTTTTGTGCAATTTTGGTCTTTTGCCTCAGTACCAGATTATGCCTTTCCATGAACCTAGTACACCAGGATACAGTGGCCTTAAATCCTTTGCTGTGATCTGGGTTAGATTTGCCCCACTGAAGTGCAAACATACGTATTTTGTTTCGTGTCACTACATAACCATTTTGACGATGCTCATGCACCATGTCTGCTACGTGCTTTTCAAGTTCTGACCAATGTGGGGTGCCTCTTCTTAATGCACACTTACTACTTGGCATACTCTTTAATGCATCTTCATTTGCTTTCCAGTCTCGGACCATCTTTTCTGTTACTCCATATTGACTTGCAGCAGCACAGTTATTATGTTCCTTGGCAAAGTTTACAACTTTCAGCTTGAAACTGGCTTCAAATTTCCTTCTTCTTATTGGAGCCACAATGGGGTCTTTTCTACCACCCACTTACAGGTTTTAGCCTATACTCGCCATATAAGACTTACCCCCCTTTCGGAGGCAACACCATTTAATAACATCAGATTTGATTTATCGTACTTGCGCGCCCGGGGCCGGCGCTCCCCCCGCTGGCGCTCACCATGCGCCATGTGCCCGGGGCCAGCCCCGAGCACCGTGTTGGGGACCAGTATCAGCACAGGTACATTCTATACCCGGCATATAAGACGACCCCCGATTTTTGGGGGATGTTTTTAAGTGTAAAAAGTCATCTTATACGCCGGAAAATACGGTTTTTTTTGCAGAGCCAGGGTAGATTTTTAAAATGAAAATGATAGTTCACAAATTGCTGTTGAATACACACATATCTAACAATAAATTATGTCTATTTTGTAATATTTTATGTCCTGAAAAATCCCACAATACCCAATATTTTCTTTATTAGATGCCTTAACACTGTACTTTTAATTTTATTATGCAATCAGTGCCACAAATGAAGTAAGATAATACTGAGCTCTAAAGTAAGAGACATACAATAGTGCCTGCTCAGACTCGCCTTTCTTATCCAGAGAATAAGAAAAAACAATATGTTTTGGATTCTCACAATACACAAATGGATTACAAAACATTACTCTTACTAGGACAGAAGGTTTTTCAAAATTGTACTTATGTTCCTTTTGAACTTTTGCAACATAATTACAAAATAGAAATGTGCCTTTTATAAAACTAATAGTACCTTGAGCAACATCTTTTAATGTAAATTATTACTGTTTTCTTTTCTTGATTTCAGCACCAATACCTATTATATATAACTTTACCAAACGCAGTTCACACACCCAGGTAACCTTAAAAATTCTGTTTTTCCTTAGATGCCAAAGAAAAAATCCTGAATTTTCAACCTACTTTATTGCTTATAATAAAAAGAGCAGGGAAAGTTTTCCTAAAAAATTGAATATGTCCAATATGCCTGTTATGAGCAGGTGTAGCTATAGTATATTCATTATAGTCAAACACGTCAAATACTTCAGCCACATACTTAAAGTTGTGAAAAGCAAGAGGCAGCTGAAGCAAACCACTTGAAATACATAGGATATTCCCCACTTGACCTCAAACTTTCACTCAAAGCAAAAACTTTTTCTGATGTTTGAAAAATGTTAACTGCCTACTTCCTTCAATCTGGAATTCCTTGCACTTCCAAGACTGGAAGGGGAGGTGCCAAAATACTTGAAATAGTTCTCAGTATTTCAAACATGAATCAAATCCCCCAGTTCCATCCTTTTTTGTTTTCAGACTCCACTGTTTCAGGTACATTCAGATAAGCCTCTGAAGCCACAAATGTCTATCCAAATAGAACTGAGCTCCACACCCTGTACGGTTCGCTCGTCATTAGTTAGGGATGACGCATACAATTTTTTCCAAAAATCAACCAGCAAGTTATGGTTGAAAGGTGTTTGACGGGGAATAGCCCTTCATATTATCTAAAGAGCTTTACACACTGTGCAGCACACACAGTTCAAAAACCTAAACAACATTGTTGCAGCCATGAGAAGTTCTTAGTCATTCATTACATCCACTACAGAATTTTCTCTATAATACTTGCACAAGTTTACTACAAAAGCAAATAAAATTACCACCTGGACTTGTTGGTTTAAGACATTGCAATAGCAAAGCAAAGTCAGAATATGTTGATTACATGCTCACTAACCATTTCTAATCTCTTTCATCGGGAATAACTGTGATAAAACAACAGAATATGGACCTTAATTCCTATAAGCCAATAGGATTAAGTATGCGATAGCAGCAAAGGAAGGATCATAAGCAGAAAAACAGTATTAGTAGCATTAGAAAATGGCTCCTACCTTTAATTGTGCTTGGGGAGAAATTGTTCCCAAACTCCTGCTGCTTTGACTTTAAAAACTGTGGTGCTGGCAGCCCTGGAGGCTGTGGGATTTGGAATAAAGGCTTCCCATTTGTAACCACTTGTCTCCTGGGACTTAAAGCAGGGAGGTGGATGGTACTATCAGTGATGTTGCTCTGAGGAGCTACCCCTCCTCCAAGGGGCATCTTTAAATGGAGACTGGCGGACAAGTTTCCAATAGCTGGGCTTGGGGTGCTGCTATTCAAAGATGGGCAAGGTGTTCCTGCATGAACTCTGATCGGTGGAATTTGTTGTCCATTGATCATCCCGGGACCATGGGGGGTACCTGAAGTCCGGTGACTCATACTGCATGACCTGCCATTCATTGTCAAGTAGTTGGAATGATCAAAATGTGTTATACAGATCCACGGGTCTCAGTGATATCAGTCCAAGTTATCCATAGTGATTAAACCTGTTAAAATACATAAAATATTTTACATTACAGTGAATAATACATGATGACAGGACTGTACCCAATATTTAACTAAATAAAAAAAATATTGATTGTGAGCGGCAAAGTATGAGCAATATACAAGCAATCAAAGAGAGAGGACAAAGCTGAATGATGACTCAGAATAGTAATAAGAAAGCCTGCTGCTTCAAAAGCAGAAGTTTATAATAAGGTCAGCTGTCTTCACACTAGACAAACTAGCCATGAAAGGTAGTGAATGCTGAGCAAGTCAAGGAAGTCAACCTGGAGTGAAAAGCAGCTGCTAAGTGGAAGTCATAACCAATATGAGCACCACTGTCCCATTCTGCCAGCTCTTCAGTCTATTGATTAAAAAGGTGATGAGAACCAAAACACTGCAACCAGGCAATATTGAGCTACGTATAGAACATGAAAGAGATGCCCATTGACATTCTAAAGGTCAGAATTACAGTATTTTTCCTAGTGGAATCCCATCCTGAAGAGAAAAACCCTTTGAAATCTGTTTCGCTGTGTGTCCTACTATGCTAAGTTCATAAAAAATCATTGTAATAATTGCAAAGGTATATCAAGATGTCAATCTTATACATTCAGACTATTTTAATGTCATAATAAACGATGGGGCAAATTTTCTAAAGCATTGCGCTAGCTCAATTTTTTCCCAGAGTATTTCTTCACTTGCATAGATCTGTGAACACAAGCTGCATTTGTTGATGCATACTGCCGATACAGTGGAATCAAACCTGAGACCTCTGGAGCTTAATACATTAGTCTCTACCACTTGAGCTAAAACATTTATTCTCTTTGTAAGTGATCTTGTTGCCACTAAGAGGGAAAGTACTCCACACCCACATGGTGTGTGTGTTATATGAGCACCTAGATGCCAAGCTAACTGTTTTGCATGATTGCAATTTGCACACACAACACTGAGACTCAAATGTAACATACATGTTTATATTAATCCTGACACAGAGGGCTTTCTTTTGCAAAAGACTAGGCACCCTCTCCCTGATCCAGCAAGACACTTAAGCACATGAGTAATTCCACCGAAACCAATGGGCACAGGACCAGATGAGATGGTTCACGACAGAAACCCATAGGACTACATGAAAAAGAAGCCACTTGGCAAAGGATCACTTGTTCTTTGCAAACAACTCTCATCTCAGACCGGACAAATTCATTACACACAACTCACATCTTGCAGATTATTTATTCATAAAGTGAAGTATCTATAGAAAACTCATAACTTATGGAGACTCACTATCTTTAAAGAGGTATGTAACTATATTGAAAGTATGCTTTATGGTCTTGTAATAAAGGTTAATCACTACAGGATAATATTTTGGTGACAATCCGTTCAGAAACAACGGAGTTGTCACCACTCTTTGATTAACTGGTGATGTAATGCAAGGCTAATTGCTAGCCTTGCTCCATCCCAAGCCTATTAATGGAAAGCCATCAGAGACCACTGCAATCAATCAAAACCAGCTGAAGGTTAAAAAAAAGGGGGGGAATGTTTCAATAGAGAGGGGCTCTGCAACAGACTGAACTTTGGAGAGAAAGCTACTTTATTAGATAGGAAAGGTAACTGGTAGTAAGTGTAGACCCAAGTTCATATTTTATTATTTTGTTTTGTATTGTAACAATTTCTTTCCACCACTTTGTCTTGTTTCTGTTGAATCTCTACTCTCTTAAATAAAAGCTATTTTTATTTTAGTACAAGTACTTATAAATGCTGTGTCTTATACAGGTGTGGTGATTTAAAGTCATACTAGTAAACTAGGGCACATTGCTCTTTTGGGGGCAGAGGATCTGGGATTCCTGTGATTAGCCAGTGTCAGGGGCTAGGTATCACAAGGGAATACTTCAAGGTCCCTCATTAACCTGAAAGAGAGAGACAAAGGTGGCACAGCCCAGTGAAGAGTGCTTGAGTGGCTGAAAGTCTGGACTGAGTCAGGGAGCTAACATCCAGTTACCACTAACACGACTCCCTCATGCTAGTAGTGAAAGTAGCAAGGTAACTCTTAGTGCCAGGTACCCAGACAGCCATCCTAGACTGCTCTATTCACATGCTTAGAGTTAAAAACTTCGATCTACTAGGTCTAAGCACTATGGCCCTGATCTGCCAAAAAAAACTAAGCACGCACGTAACTGGTTTGGTGAACTAGGACCATAGTGTTCAGCACCTTGAAGAGCATGTGTGTGCATGCATGTGTATATATATTTATTTAATGAATATAAATTAAACACATACTGTACATATATACACACATTCATATGCACATTTAAATTTGTTACTCAATAATGAAAGGCCTAATCCTATTCTCTTATTTTTCATTGTTAATTTTTTATACTACAAGAATGTAAATTAGAAAAACACATTGGTTAAAAAGCAGTATCATTTATTTTTTGCATGGCTGCAGCATAAATCACATTTTGCAATTCAACCAAGGACAGACAGAGCTGAATGTTCTTAGATTCCCAAGGTTCATTTTAGTAAGCAGAATGTACCTTGCCCTAACACAGGTGACTGGCTCTTTAGAAAAAGAACTTATAAACAAAAATCTGTCATGCTGTTGGCAAGGCTGTACAACACAGCAGCATAAATCAGCAGCTAGCCAAAATCATTCTTGTCTATAATTTTTAACTACATTAGAAAAGTGCAAGCATAATAAAGAGGAGATTATACCTGACAGATTTATTAGTTTTGTTCTGAAACAGCGTATTTAGATTAATTGACAGAAGAATATTTCTATACAATATATATATATACACCTCTAGAGCTCTCTCAAATCCAGGTCAATATATTCCACGTGTTACTAATACTCAGCTTTCTTTGTTATTTTTCTGTAATATTCTATGTTACAATAAGATGCAGAATTCTGATTTGTTTTTGTCATACTTTTATCATCTGCTACTGTTTTTCACACTTGCAGAAGAAATGTACTATATTTCACTGAATGTCAAGCTAACCATTATATCAATATATTTCATTAATTTAAATTATACTTGAGTTGATTTTCTTCTTGATAGTTATGTGTAACTTTTAGTACTGACTGACATTTATGTGCATGGAAGAAAATATAAGCAGTCAACAATATTAAAGGGGCATTACCAAAATAAATATTATAAAATATAATTTTCTGTGCTACCAACCACACGATCTTAAATTTTTAAAAATAATCAATGTTTTAAAAAAATCTAATTTACTTTTCACCATGTCTGCTTCTTTGTCCTTTTTTGAATTGCAGCAAATTTATAGCAGCAGCAGATGTCCCCCGTATTCTCTGTAGTGAAGGTAATGCAGATAAGTCATTTAACTTCTCTGTAATCTCTTCGGGTATGTCTACACTACCCTGCTAGTTCGAACTAGGGGGGTAATGTAGGCATACCGCACTTGCAAATGAAGCCCGGGATTTGAATTTCCCGGGCTTCATTTGCATAAACTGGGCGCCGCCATTTTTAAATCCCTGCTCGTTCGAACCCCGTGCCGCGCGGCTACACGCGGCACGAACTAGGTAGTTCGGACTAGGCTTCCTAGTCCAAACTACCGTTACTCCTCATTCCACGAGGAGTATGCTCGTTCGAACCCCGTGCCGCGCGGCTACACACGGCACGAACTAGGTAATTCGGACTAGGCTTGTGACATTGGACCAATTTATAGTTGTCTACTCAGACACAAACAGAAACAATTAAGAATGTAAAATACAACAGATATTGCTATTCTGGTTCCATTAACCATATAGATTATGCCTTAATTGCTCTTTGCACGCCCTCATCATTGTTGTAAAGCAGGCTTTTTCTGTCCATAGCCTTCGCGTATAGCCCATCCTGCCACACAAGGCCCCTCACACAAAACCCAGATACTCAGAGGAGCATGGGCAGCACAATGCAGTTTTGTGAATGGAATTTGATCTTATAGGCATTCTGGGACTCACAGGCGCCAAAAAATAGGGAGGTGAGCATGACTAGATAGTGCTTACAGATAAGCCTCATTTGACCGTTGCTTGACCAGTCTTAGGGGCAAAGGAAAAAGTAAACATAGGGTAATAAAACATAATTGTCTCACACTAACTATGCCCCATCTGGTCCTGTCCACGAGGGGATCACGCATACATCACGAAAATTCCTATAGGGCAATATTGTCATGCTACCTCATCACTAGCCTATCAGGCCCTGCCAAATGCAGACCCTAGCATGGCAACAGACACCGAA